ATTGACTGAACTGTGTTTTACACATCTGACTACACAGGCTAATTGTGTGATACAGAATGGTCCCCATCACCACCAGTAAAGGACATGTTTAAAGAGAAAGAGAGAGAGAGAGAGAGAGAGAAGAAGATTCAATTAGAGCATATAGAGTTGGGCCTTGTTTGTGCACACAACCATACACACAAAGTTGTGAGTGATCAATCAAAGTGCTTTCAATCTAACTGCTCTATCTGCTCTGCTTCACTTCACATCACCTCACATCATCATCATCATCAATGTTTCCCTTTTTTCCCTCATTTCATTTCCTCTTTCTTCTCTTTCTTTTATTCGGTTATATAGGTGCTGAACATGCTGAGCAGCTCAAACATTGGCAGCAATGGGAATGGCGGCAACAATGACTACAGCACCGGCGCAGCTAAATACGAAGGACTGGATGGCACCAACGGAAACGGCGGTGGTAGTTCAGCTTCTAGCGGCAATTCCTGGAATCTCGGCGGATCATCAAATATGAGTCTCAAGTACGAGAGCAACAAAATTGGCGGAAACAGCGGCGGAAATGGAAACGGCTCCTGGTCGACCGGGAACAGCATGGGCGGCCTCGTTGACGGCCTCGGCGGCTCGGTCCTCTCCAACAACGGCGGTTTTGGAGGCCTGGGCGACGGAAGTGGCGGTGTGAATGGTACTGGTCATCTCGTTTCCAACTCGATCTCCTCAGCGGCAGCCGCTGCAGCCGCCGCCGATCCGTTTGGCTTTGTGACGGCCCATGCGGCGAATGATGCGCTGAGCAAATCGACCTCCTTTGCCTACTACTCACAGTTCGCCGGCGGAGGCATCAGAGGGCTGACGTTGTAAATGGTCAAGAATGCTATGATGTTATTATTATTACAGTTTCAGCGCGTGTTTAGTTTTATTGTAACTGATTTTAAATTACAATCTCTTCTCTTCCCTTCTCCTCTCAAGCTAGGCACTTTCTCTTTCTCTTTGGTTTCAATCAATCAATCACTGAATTTCTTTCTCTTCTTTGAATACCCACACCTACCTGTAAATAAGTCTCACCA